CATTCTGCCAATAATGTAGCCACAGTCAAAATTAGCCTACATCCAGGCACTGTCCTATTACTGTTTTAACAATTCAGATGAATCAGGAGGGGATTGCTCTGTGTGTGTGTGTGTGTGTGTGTGTGTGTGTGTGTGTGTGTGTGTGTGTGTGTGTGCCATCTAAGCTAATGTGTGTGTATACGCTTAATTTACTGTACGTTGAGTGTCCCTACAAGGGCACACAAATTGATTAAGAATATTGTCTATGGGCCACTTTATAGCTCATCTTTACAAATACTGTTTCTTTAAGAGCTACATGTGTTATGTCCTGAGACTAGTAATAATACAAGTCGATTTTCATGTATGCATGCATGTTAGTGTGCACGTAATTAGTGTTATATACGTGGAGGTGGAGTACCTGGAGGTTTATTCATATTCTGCCTGACTAACTTCATTAATCTCTTTATCTCCCTTTCAATTTGACTGTCGCCTTCAATTGACCAACTGACACACACACACAAACACGCATGCACAAACTCGCATACACACATGCACAGGTAGACTGACATTACCGCCCCCCTGGTCTCTCTCCCAGCACCCATTACTCTGACTCTTTTTTACTCGTGTACACACATACACACACACACGTCTTCTCAATCTTTCTCTCCCTCATCTCTGTCTCCCGTCGTCTCTCTTTCTATCATTCTCTTCCTCTCCGTCTCTCTTTTGCTCTGTAACAAATGACAGTGCAGAATGGATGTCCCCTTCATTTGCACCAGCATAATGTTCTGATGAAAAATGAAGTGATCCCTCCAGACGGATTAGTCATCAGTGAGGGGACCTCTGCAGGAGAGGAGGATGGATGTGTGTGTGTGTGTGTGTGTGTGTGTGTGTGTGTGTGTGTGTGTGTGTGTGTGTGTGTGTGTGTGTGTGTGTGTGTGTGTGTGTGTGTGTGTGTGTGTGCGCGCCTGTGTTTGTGCATGTGTGTGTGAAGCAGATAAATTACTTTCCCGGAGGCCTTCTGTTTGAGTATGTAATATTTCAGCATATATTATTGGAGGGCTACGATCTGTTCGTATTAAGAGCTTTCATCCGTTGTTCTGTCTTCGGTAACTAATGCTGAGCATGAACTTTGGTGAACTTGAACCATCTTAGTTTATCTTCGCTCGTCCATTTAGTGCAGTCAGACTTTCGCAGCCGTGCACTCCAGCTAAAAAATGTCTCAGGTATTTACAAAGAAATGTCCTTGCTCACAGAGCTTCCCAGTCACTCTGCTAACAGCAAAATAATTACTACCTTTACCTGATGCTGGTACTGTACAGCTAAATTTGGTTGAAAACATGATTTTGAGGTGTAATTTACATAACAGCTGCCTCATTTTGCACTATACCTGGGAGTACACCTGGACAACAAGCTGGTGCTATCTTCTTTGCTGTCGTATGCGGGGGCAGCAGGGCGAGGGCAGTCAACTAATCAGGAAGGCTGGCTCAGTCCTGAGGGTGGAGCTTGTGTCAGGGTGGAGGATGTTGTGCAAACTGAGGAGCATCATGAGCAGTGACTCTTGCCCTCCCCAAGATGTACTGGTCAAGCACAGGAGCACCTTCGGACCACGGCGCTGCACCACAGAACGTCACAGGAAATCTTTCTTCCTTTGGCAGTCAGACTTTCCAACTCCTCTTCCTCAGGCTGAGAGATGGACAGCAGAGACGTGGTGTGCTGAGGTGGCTCCAGCCTCCAGTGCAGCTCTGCTCTGTTCGTTTAAATCTTCCTCTCTCTCTCTCTCTCTCTCTCTCTCTCTCTGGATTTCTCTCTCTCCATAGATTGCAGTCATTAACTCTCTGTCACTGTCTATCACAGGTGAACCTTAACCAATCCAAGAGTGAAAACATCTTTTCCATTGAGAAAAGCCACTGAAGATATATTCTCCAGTTCTGATATAAAGGGTGCTAGCAGCATCTATGCTAACCTCAATGCACGCAGCCCTGTAGCTGCCAGTACTTCCTCAAAGGATTCTGATTCAGGGGCGTCTCCAGAGGAGGGGGCTGGGGTGGCTGGCCACCCCAAGTGCCACCCCGTCATCTTTACCTCTTCTACTCCACTCTTTCAGAGGTTGTAGCAGGCTCCATTTTAAAGCTAGAGGGAAGATACATGAAACAATACATGAAAGATCACATGAAACCAGATGACCTAATACATCCACTGTAAATGTGTTATTTCACCTAGTGTATTTAAATATTTCTGCATACTGGAGTCCCTAAACAGTACTGGAATTGCATAAATCAGCGTAACTTGGATGAGTCAGTGCCCCACTTGTGATCATCACTCCAGTCAAAAAAGTCTGGAAACACCCTTACACTGATTGGTCCAGTTCCACACAGTTTGGCCACAAACGCACAGATTGTAGACTAGCAAGATGGATTCATGCATGTGTTTTTATCTTGCGTATCGAGCTGACTCGCAAGGTTACCTCACCGTGAACCTGCTTACTTTTTGTGATCAATGCTGTTAACTTCTTTTTTTGCCATTGTGTATTTATTTGCAATTCATATTTATGTTATGTACAGTTGACCTGTATACATTGCGGACATTGTGTACATTTGCTTTGCTCCTTATTGATAATCTATATTTTATTACTCTATTACTTTATTACTTTAGTGCAACTGCTGCACAGCAATTTCCTTCGGGATAAATACATTTCTAGTTTATCTTATCTTATCTTATCCCGATTTTTAACCTATAACTCTAAACTTCTTTTGACTTGCACATCACCAAATTAGTACCGGGTAGTTTCAAATTGAAAACGTCAGACATTTCAGACATTTAATCCTGTTTTTGTTTTGTTTTGCAGACATACTCCAAAATTGTAAAGAAATCAAAACTTTGAGTCAGGAGGATTTAATTAAAATTTACCCTATCTCAACCATTTTACATTGCAATCCAATTTCACATAAATGATAAACCTGGTTTCTGTAGTAGGGAAGGGGATAAGAGAACTCTGGTTTCCCCAGCTGGATTGCTCCCAGAGATTTCTTGGCCATGTATACCATAACTGGGTTCCAAATTGGCTTTTTACAAGTACTTATGTGACAAAGACTTCAGACGGGGGAACTAACAGCGAGAGATTACACAGAACAATGTGTTCTCAGATTTAACATACCGTTAAGTCCATTCAAAGTTGGACTAAAACTAACACAAAGTAGCCGTTAGAAGTCTAGAACCTGATAATCTGTTAAATAAATTTAGACACCAGTCTAACAGACACACACCAAGAAAATCCAAAAAATGAGGAAGAAGTCGGGGGCCGTCCTACAGTTACCATATGTAAGCCATGCTTCCAAAATGAGGTTCGGAGTAGAAGAAAAATCTAATTACTAACACATTGCATGTATACACAGGTTTACAGTAACCTGGTTGCTTAAATGCATGCAAATGTACCAAAGTATCATCCTTTGGGGACCCTGAACATCTGTACAGAATTTCAGGCTAAAAACAGGAGGAAGTGTAAGTTATATTAAAGCAAGTCAAGTATTAGTTTTAGTAGTATTTCATGTTAACAAGCCATTGAGTATTTTTTTCTTCAAGGCAACTTTCAAAGAGCAAGATGTTGGGTTAAAGTTTATGTTTAAGACACAAACATGCAACACATGAGGAAGTCTCCTTGGTTAATTTCTTCATTTCCACTCTGACGCTGGTGCAGAAGTAGAGAAACACTGCAGGTCATACAGTGTTATATGTGAGTGTTAGTTAGGTAGAAGTTTACCTGATCCCTGATCTCACTCCGTTAAACTGGACAAATAGTTTATACCCAAAAGGAAATGATGACTGCATCTACTTGCCCTCCCCTGAGTCAAAGTTAAGTCTATAACTGGTGCTGTGTGCGCATTATGCAGAGCAAGTCAGCTTGCACGACCCCATGTGTGTCTCCGAAAAACACTGACCTGAATATAAACTCTTGTCGGCTGGTGCAGAACAATCCAAGTATTCTGAAGCAAAACAATGGTATCATAAAACCGAGTGATATTCTTCAAGGAAGTATTGCTTGTCTCTATTGTTGCAGCCATTCACACTTTCCATGTCATGGTTCACACTTAGTGTTACTTGAATAGCATCCATCTGTTGTCACACTCGTACAGTGTACAGATGTCTGCATAATACAAACTGAAAGAGCTCTGCTCCAAAAGATTTTATTACATTAACTTTTGCTTACTTTCATTCAAAGAAAGAAATTGTCCGCCAAATTTCTTTGCCCAACCTTTTTCTAAATTGAATTTAACATAATTTAATTTGATCTAATTTAATTTATTTGAGGCAGAATATGCATACAAGGAGCCCAGAGGAACGGATGAGGCAGTAGCAACAGCTGCACAGCCTGAGGAATGTCGTGGGTCAGGCTGTGCCAGCAGAAGAAGAGAGCTGTAACCCTGTCTCGAGGAGCTGGATAAATATTATATTTCAATGCTTCACAAACGCAGACTAGTCTGTGAAAAAAGACAAAAAGTACATGCTAGTTCATTACTGTGCGACTCCTGTCTGACTCTGGGGCTGCTTCTGTCCCCTGCTGACACAGCAAAACAGTATGGAAAGGCTCCACGGTTGACACGTCAGCATCTAAAAACTGCATCAAAAATGCATCTGGCAGAGATTGGTGTAGGTGTGATGGGAGTGATGCTGCTAGAGAAAGTGCATTATCTCTGTGTAGGCGTGAAAACAGACAAGCTAAGGTCATGCAAAATGAGTGGAGGCATGAAAGTGTGTATGCTGAAGATCAATAGCAATGAATAATTGTGTAAATGTCAGTGTTTTGGACTTAAGCTGCACTAGCTGCATAAAGAGTAATTTTAGAGCCTCTTCAGTTTGTGTAAGGCTGATGGAGCAGTGCTAGCCGGCTCATTATGTGTTACAGGTGCTGTCTTCACTGGTGTTTCAACTAATGTGTGAGTACATAATAACGTTGCCTGTTTTGCAAGAATTCTTGCGTCACCACTTCCGCTTTCTCTCTCTCTGTCTCTCTCTTTATCTAGTCAAGACAACCATTCTGAACTACCAGAGTCCCACCACTGGCCTTTTCCCAGTTAAAACCACCTGCAAGGAGGCCAAGGTCCGGGACTCCCTGTACTGTGCTGCTAGTGCCTGGGCTCTGGCTATAGCCTACCGGTTAGTACACAAAACACACACATACACTCTCACAGAAAAACTATGAAGGAAGTGTTTCATGCATGCAGAACTGAATGTGTCTAACTGCAATGTGTGTCATCTCAGGGGGGTGCACTCCATTTCTTAATTATTGTGAACCTGGTGTATCCCAGGGTCAGCTTCAGTAGGTACCGCAGTTTGAAGCTACACTAATTTATTTCTTGGATAATAAGAGTTTAATTGGGGTTGCTGGTGTATAAACTTCCTCAAATTCAATTCAAAGAGCTGGACAGTGCCACTAACATTAACCTAAACTCAATAGAATATAATAATAATACATTTTATTTATAAGTGCTTTTCTGGATAATCAAAGACACTTTACATAAAGACAACATAAAAGCAGCAAAAACAACATAAAATAGTAAAAACACTAAAAATACATTGGACCCAGCTAAACATTAAAAGGTGAGTTTTTGTCAATGATTTGAACGCTGGAAGGTCAGTGCAGTCACGGATTTGTTTGGGGAGAGAGTTCCAGAGGGAGGGGGCAGCTACAGAGAAGGCTCTGTCGCCCCAGGTTCGGTCCTTGGTCCTGGGTGGTGGGGTCAGGAAGTTTGCATCAGATGAGTGCAGGCTACGGGATGGATTGTGGCGGTGGAGCAGGTCAGTGAGGTAGGAAGGGTCCTGGTTATGGAGGGCTTTGTGTGTGAGGAGGAGGATTTTGAATTGAATTCGTTGTGGGACCGGGAGCCAGTGGTGGTTCTGGAGGACAGGGGTAATGTGGTCACGGGTGTGGGTGTGGGTGAGCAAACTCCTATACTCCTACTCCTCTATCATTCATAGAGTGGGGAAATACTACACAGTGGATGTGCTGGTTGTTAATGTGACAACTTGTCACCCCACAAACTAATGTGTTTAGTTAATGATGATATACTTGGCCTTGGAAGTAACACAGTTACTGAGGTAGTAAGCTAGTTAGCTGGACATGCAAATAACTGTAGCTTACGTTCGAGTAGATGAACAAATGTTTTCCTCTCCCATGCACATCACTTGAACACTGGGAGATATCCAAAGCTTGTGTTTACTTAGAGATCATTTACTGTACCTTGGGGCCAATTACTGACACCTTAAAACCTAAATTCTTGATGTGAGGGTAGAGGTGATGAACATTTAGTGCTGCTATATACAGTTCCGTGTGTATATGAATATGTGAACCATAAATGCCATATGAAATCCTATAAACAAATAGCGAACATCAGTAACTTTTGATGATATAGGCCTCCATTGGGCTGATAAAATGATAATAAAATTATCTGCAGAGGAGATCTGTTCATTTGTCAGTAAGTTGTGTGACTAGAAAGTATTACAGATGCATAAGTGATTTAAAAGGAACACTAAAATAGATAAATAGATCACTTACAGTGTGTTCATAAAGCATTATGTGCAGAACAGACCAAGAATCTTCCGTTACATAAGTTTACGGCTACTGTTTCACAGCTTTCTGCACTCTGTATCCCTTCTTCGACTTTGTGGTGTTGTTCCACTCTCTTCTGCTTCACGCTTGCTGACCCTGATCTCTAATCTGCCTCTGTCATTTGAAGGCTTTGCTTTTTAAACACATAGGGATTATTGATTCCAGGAGAACACTTGTCTAACTGTCTAAAGCCCCCAAACTCCTTTATCAACCGTCCCTGCACTTGATGCCTGCATTCCTCAGTGATTAGTTTCTAGGGGAAAGAGCACTTCCGCGAAATGAGCCTGTAATAGGACAGAGAGAGAGGAGAAAGGATGGAGAGAATGATGTGGAGAGAGAGAAGGATTGGAAGAATGGAGACAGAGAGGAGGAGGGAAGATACAGAAGGAAGGAGATACTAAAGGAGGAGATATGTGCAGAGAGTTGGTGGGCAATGGAAAGATAAGAGACAGGGAGAAGAAACGGGAGATGGGGGAGAAAGACTGAGTGAAGAAATAAGATTGAGGGGGAAGACAGAAGGGAAAGAGAGGGGTAAAAATAGAGTGTACTGCACTGATGTGACCAGCGGCAGATCCCAGTCATCAGTCATGGCTGCCTCCTATTAGAATTGTCACTGGGATTTAATTAAGATAATTCTCATCTGACAGGCTTGGCTAGTGCCATTACTTACTTCACGCCCAGCTGCTGTGTGTGTATTTGAGTGTCTGTGTGAGATTCAGTGAGTAGACTGGCACTTGGATTTGCCACAAACTCCTATTCTAAGTAGACATGATAAGGTTTATCCATCACCTTGCCCAGTCACATTTTATTCTTTATTTTGTAACATTTTATTGGATATTTTATATATATATATATATATATATGAGTATAAGTATGGAAGCTGACAACCCATCCCCCCATTATATATGTATGTGTAATTGTATTTAATGTATGTGATTTTCTAATATTTTCTTGTAGTTTCCTGATTAAATGTCATTAAATTTGAAGAGCTGGGTATGTTACTGTAAGCCCTGGTCAGTGTCGGGCATATTTCATTGTTGAATACTTGTAGTTCGGTAATGAATACCCAATGAAGTACTTTAAAACAGGACGTTGATAGATGAAAAGCTGCCTACCTTATCCTCTGCCTGCAATCAGTTTTGATGTGGTGGGTCACAAAGACAGTGTGATTAATGTACCTTGTACCTCTGAAATTTAAACAAGTTTCACCTTTCCCCTATCGATACCCAAAGTCATTATTAGCATGACCTTTATAATGTGCATCAGGAATGTACTGACTCCCCCTGAGGGCACTGCAACCGTAATGATTGACTTCTGAGTGGTACCTTACTGAGAATACGCTCTTATACACTACAGTAACTTGTCGAAGCCTAAATGCTTCTTCACGAGTAATTTTTATCGTGATGCATTCTTGCATGCAAGCATTACATTTTTTTAATGTTTTTTTTTTTTGCCACTGTTGAATGCCGCTAATAAATTGTTGCCCCCCCTGTAGCTAATGAGAAGATCTAGAGAAATATTCTTATGGCATGGCATTTAAAGGTCCAATGTGTAGGATTTAGTGGTATCTAGCTGTGAAGTCTCAATACAGCAACTAACTGAATACCACTCGTGTCTGTATTTGACGATCTGGGAATGAGAACAGGCTACTGTAGAAACATGGCAGTTCAAAATGGCAGACTCCATGGAAGGCGACAGCGCAGTGTCTGTAGATAAAAACAGCTCATTCTAAATTAATGATAAAACACAATGATTCCTATATTCAGGTGATTTTAAACTAATGAAAACATGAATGTTATATTCCATTTCTGCCAATAGACTCTCTTAAATGTTATAAAACTGGACCTTTAAGTGGTGGCAGGAATATATGCTGATTTAATCGCAAACAATCATATATCAATATTTGCTTGTATATGCCTCCAAATGAAGATATTTGGACTTAAAACATTAAATTGTTGTGGCACGTTAGAGCACGTTAAAGCACTTAATATAAATATGTACAGGTTGCATTAGAAATCAATAAATTGTTCTATTTCCAAATCTTCAGACATTTTTCTTTTTTCGTTGCTTTCATTTGATCATGGCTGTCACCTATCTAAAATGTGGCCATAACAGATCATTAAATTCTATGTTAATTTCTCTTTTTTAACATGTTAAATTAATTTGTTGAATTTGACACCAAACAGCTGGGGTGACAGCTACCACCTCGTGCCACCCCTCTAAATCCACCCCTGCTTTTGCTGAAATTAGTTTGTCCCTACCAAGGACAAAAAGGAAGGATACATTGTTGCTTTTTAGTTCTTGTGCATTGACTGTTCACACTGTTGTCTTTCAAATCAATTTAAATGAATCATATGAAATGACAGGGAACTCATTCATTAGGCAGTTTAGGTGTCGGTCATACTGCATAATTAGCCCCACATGGACTCGTGGAAAGAATCCATGTCCAGAGATTGACAGCAAGTCACTCAGCTCCTTATTGCACCTTTGTTTATCCTCTCTGATGGACACAAAAAGCCCAAGACGAGCATTACCGTTGGAGACTGCAACTGCACCTCATATGTCATAAATAATGATGAACATGTAGACAACCCCCTTTTCACAAGGTCTCAGGTCTGGTTGTTTGGTCCACATTGCAGTTCAGTTGAAAGCTTTCACACCAGCCAAACAAAACCAAGTGGATAAACACACCCTAGTTTTCTTGAGCACCTTCATATTACTGCAATGCCCATCTGCACGTGGACCTGTGTTGTCAATGTTAGTTTATTTCTATATGTGGTATTAATAGTTGAGGTAGACTTAGACTGCTTACAGTGTATTGTTTGTATTATTTTTTTGTTAAGCACAGGTTTGCATGTCCATGAAAAGTCTGACTTGACTCTGATTGTGCACTTATGCTGGTGTCATGGTGGTCTTACAGGCCCAGTGTGTAACATCTCGGATCTATTGGCAGAAATTAGATTTAATATTCATAGGTATGTTTTCATTAGTGTGTAATCACCTGAAAATAATGTGGGGAGGGTGAAGCGAGGGAGTTGCAATCTGCAACTATCAGAATCAGAATCAATTTTATTGGCCAGGTCTGTGTGCACATAAAAGGAATTTGACTCCGGTTTTACATTACTCTCAGTGTACAAAAGACAGACTTACAGTATAAATAAACAGAACAAGTTCAACAAAAAAGACATAGACTTATATGTGCAGTTATACCTATCTATAAACTACACACTGGTCCTTCAAAGGATGATTCCTAGTTTATTATAATTTAGACCTTATTTTTGTAATTTTGGCCATAATTCTGATTGATAATATTTAAAAAAAACCTCATGTTAGCCAAACTTATTTTAAAGCAAACTAAAACAGTTATTACCCAAACTGTCCATCCCAATCACACTTCCTGGTTGGATTTTGATCAGTTTTACCTCCAAGTTAAGTGGTTTAGATAATCTGACTTGACTTATTTACCATATGACTGCTTGTGACTTTTTGCCCCGCCTGACTTGGTAGTGATATTGTGATTTGAAAGCCAAAACTACAACAATAAAACCCAAGTTAGAATAAACCAGAACTATCCTTTAAAATCAGTTCATGTGGGGGCGCCTTGTAGAGTGCATGCCCCATGTACAAAAAGGCTGAGTCTTTACTGCAGCGGCCCTTTTATGTATTCATCATGTATTCATCCACTCGTGTGTTGTCCCTGTTCACCCCGCTATGCAGACGCATTGATGACGATATGGGACGAACCCATGAATTGGAGCATTCTGCCATCAAGTGCATGAGAGGGATCCTGTACTGCTACATGAGACAGGCTGATAAGGTGAGTTTTTAGCCAGCCTCCACTCATCTCCCGTGTTCACGCTGCATGTTTGCATAAAAGCACCCCACAGTTACACACTGTATTACAGATCAAAGGTGTAATCCTGAGCTGCTATTCATCAAAGCCTCTCAGAGCTGGTGCACTGGACACATCTGGCTCCTCTTTCATATCATAACAAATGACAGTGGGAGCTGGTTGCTTTGGTCCTAAGGGCTTAATAACTGGCAATCTGTTAATTGCCAAAGACCTTTGCTCCGAAGGGGGAAATTTCACGCCACATCTGGAGGAAATCTGATGCATGTGCATGAGTAGGCTGTAAATGAAAAAATGCAAAACACACCACTTTATGTATCCATAGCAGAACTAGATACTTCCTCTGTAAGCTATTTTTTATTCCTCATGAACATCTTTTAATAGAGCAGCCTGTTGTGTCACTGTGTACGTGCCTGTGAACAGCGTGTGCCTTTGAAAGCCATTCTGTTTCATCTTGCCTCGACCTTGACGACCTAATTTAGGGGAGAGCTTTCCTGTGTCTTAATTACAAAGCTGCGTTTACACAGTTAATTACACAGAGCAGCGTTCGTTACAGCCCCGTCTCCAGCACTTACGGAGAACATGGCATTTTTAATGGAGACGTGACACAAGGCCACTGCTGGGCAAATATCACAGAGCAAGTACAGCAGCTGGGTCCCACTGTCCTTCTGCTGGATAGGGAACCGAGGTACTTTCCTGCAGAATCATTAAACTTACTTAAATAAAAAAGTGTTTTAGTTGGGACAAACACATAATATTATCAGTTGGTAGAGTACATATAGTATCTTTATTTCAAATATATGACACCCAACCACCTCCCCTTCCCTATTTTGTCAATACAGTAGTACTTGTTATATCACCCCCTACAATCTCCCACAACTAAATTTTTCCATTTTGCCTTTTCCACCATTTTACTATTCCAACATCATTTCCCTTACCTCTGCACTGCTGGAGTTTCTGGACTTAAAGCTGCTCTATAATCAATGTTTTCATATTAACAATGGATTTAATGACTGTGTGTAGTGTGGCAATTATCACCTGACTGCAGAATGCAGGATCTCTCAGCTCTATGCAGCATTTTAGAACACTTTAACTCATTTTTTCAGTTTCACAGCCCACCACTTTAACGTTCGGGTTCATTTTCACTGTTCTCATAGTGTCACTGGCAGGCAGCTGTTTTCAGCAAAAAAATGCTCTACATTCACTGCATGCTACCTGCCCAATGCCAAGCATTTAGCAGTTAAACAGCCAGATTCGTATTTCCCACAGGAGATGGAAGAGACCAAAACAGAGCTAATATTGGACTTACATTGACCATGTGGACACACTGTTTTTCTGGCTTCAAACAAATGCAGCAATGAATGCAGGTTTAAATAAACAGAGTTCAACTTAAAGTTCCAGTGTGTAGGATTTAGTAGCATCTGGCAGTGAAGTTGCAGATTGCAACCAAAACAGCTCTGAGGTATTCTGAGGTAACGAAAAACAGCAATTCTTATTTTCAGTTGATTATACACTAATTAAAACATACCTATGAATGTTATATTCCATTTCTGCCAATAGATCCCCCTAAATGTTACACACTGGACCTTTAAAGTGTAAAAGTATGGTGATGTCTTATTCTTGACTGCCTGCTTTCTGAACTACGCTGGCTTTATCCCTTTACCTTTAGTTGTTTCGGAAATTCAAATTGCCCCCTTTGCAACCAGAAATGGAAAGAAATGACCTGGTTATTTCTTTAATGAGATGCAGTTTTGTGTTGGCAACAGATGTAAAATAAATGTGTGAAGGCACATTCCTATTAGTGCATGGAGCAGCAGGCATTGAAGTGTTTCACTAATTTGAAGCTCATATTGGCGCATTGCAGCACTCAGAACAATAAGCAAGATCTGGGGCCTCTCGTAGTATCCCCCAGAGTACAGCCACTTGACACTTTGGCTCTGCTGGAGCACCAATCAGAGAGACCTCTAAACAGAAGTAGGTTTTATAGAAACATAAACAGCAGTACCTATTGTTAGCTGCCAGAGGTAGGTCTAACTCACTATCACACACACACACATACACACACACACATATTCGCGTATTAGCCGCTGTGGGATGGCAGGAAGTGGAGCAGTTTCAGTAAAAGTGGGACAGAGGGTCTCCACTATGACCTGACTCGGAGTGAAATAGAGAGAGAGAGGGAGGTGGGCAGAGGTAGTGTGCCAGAGGAAAGAACAAGAGGAAAAAGGGGGAGTCTTGAGAAAAAAGACAAGACATAGAGAGCAAAAAAGACAACAAAGAAAAAGGATAGTGAATAATATAAAGTACTGGGAGATGAGAGGTAGCGCTAGAGCAGGGACGGATGGTGGGGGGTAGAAAGAGAAAAAATGGAGGCAGCGAGGGGCGGCGTGATGATGGAGAGAGCAGCTAGAGAGGTGGAGAGAAGAGAAACAAACGAGGTAGAAATGGGACAAAGGGCCAATTATTTATAACTCTGCGCGACGGGGCTGGCGGCCTAGCCGTAATTTGGTGTGTTGCGGAGTCGATGCAGCAAACACACACACACAAAGCCACCAACAAACTGCTGAACACAAAACACGAGTAACATGTTAAAGATTTTTTGTGTGTGCTGTAAACCAAGACATAGTGCGGTTACCCTAAATCTGACCCATACCTGCTTCAGAGCAGACCATGTTACGAAGGACAGTTTATCTGCTTGGGTTTTTGCTCATATAGACAAACATGTTGACTTTTCCAGTTTAGGTTATCTGAGAAACAACAGATTATGTACAGTATGTTTGTGGATTCATGCAGTCCTGCATTTCTGGGTTAGAATGGACTAACAAAGTTAGTTACTAGTTACTTACTAGAAAGTAGGCTTCTAGATGCTCTGAATATAATGTACATGTTCTCATTTCTGATAAAACATTGGATGTTGCATCTCCACTTTCTGCCACTGTACAAAAATGAAGTCAAAATATCCCAGGAATCTTTCACCACTCGGAGCCAGAGCCTGTGCAGTAGTGATCGGGGTTGGCGCCGGGGTATCAAAGTCATGACATAACCCCCTTTTCATGGCTTCAGATAACTAATTAAAACCACACTTATCAGAAAAATGAACACACTGCATAAATCATCGTTGTAAGATATACTTAAAATGGCAGAAAACACTTTTGGAAAAACATTTTTGATATGTACTTTGACCTTTTAGTTTGGCCCATCTGCTAAGATGGAGGCAACAGGCTTTATAACCTATACTGCAGTCAACCACCGGGGAGCAATTGAGATGTTTTGGCTTCACTTTTGGAGAGCTGTCATATCGTCGATCTATCTATCTATCTATCTATCTATCTATCTATAGATATATATATCTCAACTGAAACTAGTTGAAGGGGCACCTTAAACAGAAGCATCAAAAAAATGCAGGTGGCATAAGCACCAAAAGTAGTTGAAGTGAAAAATCTGGAAGGAATTGAGGAGTCAGTTGAAGTGCAAGCACTAAAAGGTGAAGTGACAGATGAAATTTCAGTTTGTGAAAACAATGAAATGAGAGGAAGACTCATTCTGAGTCAGTCATTGGAGCACAACATGCATTACAGTAGAGATCACTGTTATTTATTCATACAAAGTTGCCAATTGTGTGTTTTTGAATGTGTTCAAGGTTGCTGCTGCTCTGTACCTTTGGTGAGGAAACTGAACGTCCCTCCCTCTCTCTTTCTCTGCTACCTGTTTTACCCTTGACCTCTTTCTTTCGTTCTTTCCTCCCTTTCTCCGTGTTTCTCTCTACCAGGTGGAGCAGTTCAAACAAGATCCCAGCCCCTCCAAGTGTCTGCACTCCTTGTTTAACGTAGACACCGGTGACGAGGTGTACTCCTACAGTGACTACCACCATCTGCAGGTCAGCGAGCACGCACACAAGTGTAGAAATGAGACCACCCTCAATTGAAAGAATAAAATGGAAATTAGTTTTTACATAGATGCATATACACAGTGTGTATGTGTGTGTAATGTAACGATCAGATATCTTTGCTAGCTGTCCACCTCAATGAAATGTCCAGGTGTAACAATCATATCTACAATGATCAGAAGCTTCTTAAGGCTAAAGAGGTTTAGTAAAATCCCACAACACTATTCTTACATTATATCTCTGGTCACATATCTGATGTAACAATACTGAAAATGATTTCACTGGCTGTGATCAGGGAAGAAACAAATCTTGCTAAAGATGAATGAGCAATGGTATGAGCAAATTAGACAATCGATCTCTTTTGTTTTTGAGTGTCATGGAAAATGCCCATAAAAACTGTTTGTCCCTCTGCTCGGCATATACTGTTGGAAAATTGACTTGACTCAACTGACTCTGAGGTGGATGTGCATTAAACTGGCACTAAAACAACTTATTCTTCTGTCAATGGTATTGACAGAGGTCAATTTGCTGTGTAACGTTTGGATGGAGACTGCATTTCTAGTAAGGGATGGCCAATACGTCAAGAGAGCTAGATAGAAAATCTAAATAATAATGACTGACAAAGAAAAAACTCAAAAATCATCAGAGCTGTCTAGACGTTAAGCACGTACTGTATATCCATTTATTTCTTGGCTGTGATTTCTTCTCCAGCAACTTTACTGTGAAGTAAATTGCATTATTGATGATACCAGTCCAATGCCAAAGGCCTAATAGCTAATATAAAGCTAACATCTCAGTCTCTACACTATGTAGGAAATCAAAGACAGCTGTATTGACTAATGTGGAAATATCACACAGTGTACAAGTGACAGTAATTTCTTTAATGGTATCTCATCCACCCTGTCCTCCCCTCTCTCTTTGCTGCAGATCGATGCCGTTTCTCTGTTTCTGCTGTACCTGGTGGAGATGATCTGCTCTGGTCTGCAAATCATTTACAACACTGATGAGGTAAACAATACACTGAAATAACTGCCAATGTGATTGATTCTGGACATTAGGGATTTAAACTCTGTCCTGTTTATTAGTCTGATATTTTCAGGTTACTCCTCAGCAGCAATCAGTATCCATCTCCAAGTTCCGGACGGTTTAAAACTACTTCTTTTCTTTTATAGATAATTATACATCGAACAAAAAAAAAAACATTTCCTTAGGCAGAATATTCCTGTTTCATGTGCAGCATGCTGCCTTTCCCTTACTCTCAACATTAAAGGTCCAGTGTGTAACATTTAGGAGGATTTACTGGCAGAAATGGAATGTAATGATCATAAGTTTTCATTAGTGTATCATCACCTGAAAATAAGAATCGGTGTGTTTTTGTTACCTGAGAATGAGACAATTTTATTTATGGAGGGAGTGGGTTCTTTCCCACGAAGTACGCCATGTTGAGCCACCATGTTTCTACAGTAGTCCAGAACCGACAAACCAAACCCTGGCTGTAGAAAGGGCCTTTCATGTTTTTTGTGAGTTTTGTAGCCACCATAGTTTCTCCCACCTTGGAAGTCTGAGCTGTATTCAAGTGGTTGCAATCTGCAACGTCATTATTAGATGCCACTGAATCCTACAGACTGGTGGTGGAAATTCCCTGTATATATTTTAGAATACATGTGTACATGGATTTTTTGTTGGTCCAAAGCCTTTTGTCTAGACTGAAATATATAAATAACTATTGTACGGATTGTGTGTGCGATTTAGTTCAGACATTCCTGGTCCCAACAGGGTGAATTCTGCTAACTGTGTTGATCCTCTGACTTTTCATATAACACTCCAGTAGGTCAAAATCCTACTTTGTTTAACACTTTGACCAAATACTTGAAAAACTAATGTCATTCCCATTAATTAGGTTGGATTTTTATATTTTGTGTTAATGCTGAAAATGGTAAACATTGACACGCAAGCATTTAAGCATCATCATTAGCATGCTGACATTAGCATTTGATGCTGCTACGGCTGACTTGCATTTCTGAACTGAATTCTGATGTTTTAGCCAGTTTAATAGTCTGTATGCATATATATATATATGAAAGCACATGTAGAGAAGATGCATCAATGAAAAACTCATCATTACTACTACTTCACTATTCTGAAACAAATTATCGGACCTAATGAGATTCATAAATCTTGAATTAGGTGACGCTACCCTCTGAAGATCCAACCAGATGCTATAAAGTAAGACCAAAGGGTTTCTAAAGCCAGTTATATGTACCCTAAATCCCCTACAGATATTTTAGAGCCGACACACGCGGGATCAGGGGACAGTATCTCACTTTTATAGCTCGGCTCACATTTATATTTTTGCTGAGCCGCTCAATTGACTTTCAACAGGGAAACATTAAGATGATTTCATTGTGGAGGCTTAAATGTCCTCCTGGGAATCAAACCGGTAACATCTTATTTGGCAGCACACCAACCCAGACTATTACTGAAAAGCTGCTTTGAATGGTGTCTTCAGAGTTTGATGTATCTGATCGGTGTCATTTTTTTCATGTTTGAGCTCTTAAAAAAACCACGAGGCGACTTGACTGTTAGGTTTACACACTGTGCTGTTTATTGTGTGGCCCCGAGGAGCAGTTGGAACTTCATTAATTCTGTTAGTTTTATAGTCTGCTCATTCACAGCTTTACTTACCGCCACAGAGTGGTGAAATCTGTGCCGCTGGTAAAGGAATCCATTTGTTTACTAGATTGGGTTTATCTTAAGAAAGTAAGGACATGGTAAACATTTTGCCACTAACCAATTAGTTTGCACAGGCTTCACTTTGTTTACAGAAAACTCTCCCTAATAACCTCCCATTTTTCTCCCATTTCTCACTGCTGATGGCAAACACATTGGCACTATAACGTTTTTTATGAGGGCAGTCCTGTTTGCGCAGCAGCCTTTATTTGCATATTTAAGCACTGCTTATTAGGTTGCGTAATTCAAGCTGAAGCAGTCTGCGCCCCCCTACCGCCCATCCGTCAATTAACAAACATCCGATCCAGTGAGCAACAGGACTTGTGATTTGTGTTTTCGCTGAACGCTATTTGAAAAGCATTTCATTTGGACTAATCACATTATTATGGTATCATTTATGAGTTTGTTGTTAGCTGTCACTGCTAGTGAAGTCCATTGGCGTTTACTTGACTGAGCTGGAAGCTGCATTGCAGTATTTTTTTTTTCTTAAGGTGGTATAGAAAGGCTGCTGCGTGTCCTCTGAGAAGATGCACTATCGACCTCCTTCTAGATGCCATTTTCAGTTTCATGCAGCATGAAATGGAGCGTCTCATTAGCCTGTGTGTTTCACAGTCTGCATTTTTTCACATGATACACGTGTATGCATTTTTTTCCCAGTGTGAGTGCTGCTGGCAGGGTGAGAGCGCAGCAGCACATGTAGTATGCTTCTGCATATGTGCCCGTGTGCGCACACCTCCTCTCAAAAAAACAGGCAGAACTGGCAAGGAGCGTCGTCTAGCAGCTGGGAGAGAGGCTTGTTTGGCCGGTGGGCAGTAACATTCATTAAGATACCATTAAGATACTAAAAAGTTCCCCTCGTTAATCACTCCACTCATAAAACCCCCAAATGAGAGAACCGGCAAACACCTTTCTCTTTTTCCCTGCCTCGTCTGCTAATGCTCCCTCTTTCCCTGCCCTCCTTCGCAGACTGGCCTATTTAAGTCCTACACAGGTTGTGTCTGCTCCTCTCTACCTTTCTCTTTCACTCTCTCATCTCTCTCTCTTTTCCTCTACCCCACTTTGTCATTCGAGATTAAATCTCCCATCAGTCAAGCGCACACACACACACACACACACACACACACACACACACACACACATGCTCGCACTGCTACTTTCAGGTCTTTTTAATGATTCAAGCCCTTTAAGGCATCACACATTTTATGTCTCTCCCTTTCAGTTTTTTTTCCCCAGGTGTCGCTATTGATGCTATAGACACGGTGTCTTTCTCCATGGCCTGTGTGGGCCAGATGATAGATACGAGAAACTCCCCAACATTGCTAATTACAACTTTAAAACTGTGAGGCCGCCAATTTGTGTGGTGATGAAATCAAGGACACTGCTGATGAGCTTTTAGAGTCTGTGATGAAAGATAGGATGCACTGATAATTAAAATTTTGTTATAAATGGGTGTTGTGATATGTGTCCATTCGGTACCGTGTCATGGGCGGTTGACAAGGCAATGAAGCTGCAGCCTCACATACTGCCACACTTCACTACTTAATTCCACCTTGTCTTTAGCTGCAAGGTGAATTTGACCTTGAGCGCTGATGAGGAGTCAGCTTTCTTGTCCACTTTACTAACCTTTATAATGAGAGGGAGAGTAACACATTTCACCCCAGATCAATACCAAAGGTCACCCATTACTGTACATGTATGTAAGTGTGTGTAAGGGCTGTGTGTATGTGTAGCTGTGGCTTAAATTATGTACTGTGTGATTTTGTTTGTGTCTCAGTATGGAGACATGCTTACTACCCACAGCCCCTGGGTCTATGAGTTTAAGTGTATGTGTAAGATACTGTGTGTGTGCTTGCGCGTGTCTGTATTGCATCCATTCCCAATGTCCCATACTTTCATGTGTTGGATGTGTGTTTTCTGTGTGCAGGTTTCCTTCATCCAGAATCTGGTATTCTGTGTGGAAAGAGCCTACAGGGTGCCCGACTACGGCATGTGGGAGAGAGGCAGCAAATACAACAACGGCAGCACTGAGCTGCATTCCAGGTCAGTCAAAAGGCTCAGCCAAAATATGGAAATACAGAAATATGCAAAAAATATGTTCAAAGTAAGGTTAAAATTATTTACATATTGCTACTAATTGAAATTGCCAAATGCTGATATCTTCTAAAGGAACACTTCCTGATTTCCTTTGTATTAATCATAGAGGTAGCATAGCAATAACACCCACAACACTTTACCGATCTGTATCACTGTCAGCAGCCGTATCAGCGTTGTTTACCACACCACCAAATCTACAGGGAGAGTTTGTCAGAGATAAGTTTTATTTTCTCCTCAGCACCCGCTGGGAAGCATACTGTAGCAGAAATTGATTCCCAGTATATATATATATATATACACACACATGGAACTTTATAGATTACACTGTGTCACAAGTCACTGTGATGCTGTAAATGCCACTGTTTCATGTTAGCTTTTGTTGAATTATACTGCCATGCTAGTGCTGCAGAGTGTGTGTGGGTGTGTGTTAACACGGGGGTTGAAACTCTCTTCAAACATAAACTGAAGCAAACAGTCAGTACAAAGAGAGCAGTGGACTACTAAATGCCTCTGTAACCTGATGAACTCTCTGTGTAGGGCCAGTGATGTAATAATTTAACTGCATTCAACTAGGCATGCACAGAGGGAGGGAGAGATGGATGGAGGGAAGACGGATACAATGAAAGGGAGGAATGGGGTGAGATGAAGGTGAAGGGAGGGAGAATCAGGGAGTAACAGAGGTACCGAGTTATAGAAGGTATGAAATATTAGTTAGAGAAGGCATGAAAGCGCGAGAGATACACGCAGGAATAGTGTCGTTGTCTTCTGCCCCTAAAAGCTGTTCTGATTGATGAGATATTTGTCCCTTCCACTCGCCATATCTGAACATTTCCAGAAGGGTTGTGTAAAGGGGACACACAGGACACAACCGAGGGCTGGGCAGACTTTTGGTCTTTTGTCAGTTTAAATTGTATTTTCATTTAGCTCAGACAGTTAAGCATTTGCCAAACCAGAACATAGACTTATCATTAATATTCTATGTTTTTAGAATTATTAACACTATCAGCAAAAAAAGAAATCTGCTTTGAAGCACAAATCATTTTGAATGCCTGCATTAAAACAAGGATTAGAGGACTGAAATATTTGTTCAATCCAAAACAACCTTTTATCAGCTCTTCTTTGCTCTTAATTTTAACTGGTGGATGCCTCCAAATTATTATTATTTTAGCACTATCTTTTATTGAAAAAGCTGACTTCTTTAAATTTAATCTCTAAAATCAATTCCTGAGTAAGACACGTTGTCTGTTTTTAGACCAGTGAAACACTTACATTCTTGTTAGATATTTAAACCTGCATTTCTTAATTTTTTGACCACTTGGGGGCAGCACAACAAGTTGTTAACACAATTGTGTCATTATCACCTTATAGAGTTAATAACGTGGGAGCAAAGAGCTGCTACCACATTAAGTGGTTTGATTTCATAATACTGTCAAACCAAATTGCAACTAGAATCTAGAGCAGTGCAACAAGCTGTAAGCTTGGGTTAGTACAGGGTTACCAAAAGAGCCGTCATGTGCAATGTCTACAAAACTCTCTGAAAAACCTTTAAAGATTTCAAACACTGAATGATAGATAAGGACTGCAATGCACAAGTGTTGTTTTGATTTTTAAGGAAGAAATTGTTTGTTTTAATGTACACCAGAATGAAAACATTTTAAGGATGCAGTGAGGCAAATCAAATTCGACAATTTAAAATAATACAAATATAACTCACTATCTAAATATCAGCCATGGTGAGGAATTATTGACCAATGTGTTCTTACCACAGCTCAAGCTTTTAGAAAAGAAGCAATTTCAGGGTAGTGGCAGCAACATGTCCAGTTTATGTTTTCTTCCCCAGTGAGCAAATAACTTGTATTAAGGAAAAATGTAATGGATCAACAGTCTGAACTATTAACTGTTCTAAAGGTAAGGATTTTGGACCACACAGTAAAACACCGGGACTGTGCTTGGCCAGTGAACTCAGGTTGTGGTTTTTGTTACGTGCTCCTAACTGATTTATCATCCAAGGTCGAACTGGCCTCCCTCTCCTCCCTCTGTGTCTTGATAAAGATCCTCAATTTCTTGCTTATCTCTGGGAAGCATGTTTTTTTTCTTTCTCCAACAATCCAAGGCTATTGGCAGCAGCTTGCCAAGATATCCTCAAGAAAAGATAACAAATTTGAGTGAAGAAGCACTGTGTCTTGCGCTTCTTGTATTTTCTCCCCTCGAGGTCATGCTTTAGATTTACACAGTTAGTGAGCTAGCTTATACATGTAGTTGTGTAATACCAATTAAAATGCTGTATGCAAACAGTGAACTGTGGTAGGGGCAGATTCAAAATGGTCACATGTAAACAAGATCTCTGTAAATCATCAAATTGAACAGTCATTTCTAGTCGCAGAGCGCCAGTGGGCAGAAAAAGGCTCTGTGGAGATGAACAGAAAAGGATGCATTCATTTGTCCATATTAAATCAAATGATTCATTTTATTTGCTTCTGCCTCATGTTTATCATCACTCCCAGTCAAATGGCTTGACTGGATCTGTTTTTTTTTTAAAGTAGCATATCTAATCTTGTAAGCATCAGGATATCATAACTTATGATGAGATAAATGTAATTTTATTAGAAATATAAAAACAGGACTGTGCTCATATGTTCATGAATATTTCAACATAATTCATGATAGTCAACTTTTCATTCACTTTACAACAGAACAAATTTAAATCATAAGAGTCTAAATGTGCTGTAATAAACTGAATGCTATTATTGTTTTGTTACCATCCCTACTATATTGACTGTATATCATAGACAGCCACTACTTGTTCTACCAGGCAAAGTGGGCAACTGCCCGAGGGCCCCAAACCTCCAGGGGCTCAAAAGTTCCTGGGTTATTTGCTTTTCATGTTTTTTGTCAATTTGATTACTGACTAATGAAACTGACTTTACTGGGGACTTTAGTCACCTAAAGTACAGTTTTAAAATGTTGTGGTCCTGTCATGTAGAGGGACACTGTGTCAGTATCTAGTTTTAAGACCTTCTATTAATAATGCATCAAACGACTATGTAAAGTGAAATGGGTCACTCACAGTCACAAGCGAACAAGGAATTGTCACCTGACTGAAGTTCCCCTGAGCTTTATTGAGTGTTTTAGCATCTTTCAGCTAATTGTCTAGTTTTTATGGCCTATAACTTTACTGTTCAGTCTCACTGCTTTTATCAACCTGTTGCCACCCACAGCAGGCAGCTGTTTTCTGTGAATAAACCCACTGTACTTGCCCAGCACCAAAAAGCAGACGCCCAAAATAGAAACTGGCTGGTGGAAACAGTGAAGTACTAGGCTAACATTAATCAGACTGCCTGAATCATGACTACAAGTGAATGCTAATCTTTCTCTGTATCTGTTTGATATGTAAATAGGCAACATGTAAGCTAACAGTATAACCATATCAACTTTATAAGGTGATAATATGTCATTGCTGTCTTGTTACACTGCCACAAATATCAATTAATGCAGATTTAATTATTTTTGTTTGGCAAAAGAAAAGAACAATTTAATCAAACCACTAAAACCATATCACATGGTACTCATTGAGGTGGTTCAGTTGTCATCATATGACCTAAACTTTGGTCAATTCAATTTCAAGTTCCATTGAATTTTATTTGTATAGTGCCAAATCATTACAGAAGTTATATCAGGGCACTTTTCAAATAAAACAGGTCTAGACCGAACTCCACTGAGACCCAACAATTCCCACCATGAGCAAGCATGTGGCGACAGTGGCAAGGAAAAACTTTCTTTTAAGAGGCAGAAACCTCCAGCAGACCCTGGCTCTAGGTGGGCAACTGTCTGCCTTGACTGATTGGGTTTAGAGAAGGGGCCAGCAGAGGGGCCATTTCCCGGCCCTCCATCTCTCTCCCTCTGGCCCATGACATGATGTCAAAAATATAATATAATCCAGCAGGCAAGATTATTATTAAGTTATTTCATATCAATTAAACTACCCCTTCATATACAATTAAAGATTAATGTATAGTGTTTGCAAATGTAGAATAATGTATTTCGTTCCTTAATCTTGTTTGTATTTATTTTTATGTAAACTGAAATAACTGCATTATTTTGTGAGGTAGAGTATTGTAAATGCTTTCAGAATATTGTGCTTTCTTGTAGTACTTGTATGTTGCAGAAGCCCTCTTATGAGATGACAATACCAGCAGTGGTCCCAAGCCAATCTGAGTTTGAGAGCCCTGGTTTAGATAGAGAGAGAGGAGAAAATGGGAATAGAGGGGAAGAGAGGTGTAGAGAGGGGGGAGGGGATAAAGTGGTTGTATTTTGCTGTGAGTGGCTGTCCAAAGACTCCTGGTTGATGACTTTGATTCCTTTCCACTTAATGCTGTGATAGCCTCAGTTGATATTTTTGTCACATGATCCATAATTGCTAAATAACCACACAGTAAACTTGGGGAGACAGGGTACATACACAATACACTGAGGATGAGGTGGGTGAGTTCACCCAATATGACCTCAACTGGGATGTGAACTATACTGTATGTAAACACATTTAGTGCAAGAGCAACAGAATATTGTTGTGCAGTCTACCGTATGAATTCATGGACTAACAGACAGTAACATTTTCATCATGCGAATCTTTCTCTCCAACTGTCAACTTAAACCATTGCATCATGATGCTGCTTTGCTCCTGTTTCCCACTGTTGCTTTTTTTAACCTCCTGTTTCCCCACCAAGCACCAATCTCCTCTATGTCTGTGCGGGGTGCTGACAGCCTTGCTGACCAGTGCTGGACGTTTTTGTGTTTGTGTGCCTGTGTGTTATACAAAACTAGTTTCAACCGAGCTCTTCTCCAGGCTGAATTAGCCAGCCATCCTCTGTATTTTAAGCATCGATTCAGGCCTCACTAATGGAATTGAATGCGTTTTGATATGTCAGCATATCTGCTGCCAGTCATCACCAAGTTTCCGGCAATTTTCCCTCCACTTTTTTTCTTTTCTAGGGAAATCTTGGCAGGGCAGAAAGGGAAACAAAATGACAGTGAAATTGATTCACATTTAGTCTGCATTGCAATCACAGTAGCCAGCTAGTGTGAAATTCAGTATAAGGTTTTTATTAAAGAGATCCATTATCTACAGTAGACCACAATCTCAGGAGCCCACAGCTTTATTGAATCCTAACAGATAGCAGTTTAAGATTCAAGTGCGAGTCTGGATGCTTTTTTGTTTTTTTGGGCTGCTGACAATTGAAAGATGCTCATGGTTACTATCATTGCCTCCATCACACAAACATATCTGTTACACGATTTTCATTCCCACCAGCTTATAGGGCATCAATGTCAGTGAGATCTGCTTGTTGTATGTTGTGTAATTGTCAATGTTTCTTATCTTTGCAGCTCTGTGGGCCTGGCTAAAGCTGCTCTGGAGGCCATCAATGGATTCAACCTGTTTGGAAACCAGGTATTTGAATAATTCACCCGCTCCTCGCACATTTCCTCCTCCTCATGAGGCTCCCAAGACGCACAAGTATTTGTCTCTTGTCTAATCGTGTCACATGGCGCAAGATTGCATTATAGATAGATCTAATTCAAATCTGCAGAGGCCCATTACAGCTCCATACATCAGTATGCCTGATGTTTGTGGTTCCATCATCATGTGCAAGGAAAGACCTGCCTCAGTGGCTGGGTGTATGGAAAGCCGCCGCTGTTTTTAACAACTAGACATCATCAGTGTAATTAGTGCTGCTGTCATCGATGCTAGATCCAAGTGAATGTTTGACCATCATGAGATCCATTTAGTATTTGTTTCTACAAACTTTGATCGATGGCCACAGTTGATGTTTGTTCCTGGTTTCCCCCTGAATCTTTCTTAAAATGTCCATTAGTGGATGTGTGTCTCTTTTTTTGTTCTAGTGCGGAGGAAAGGAAAACCAGGGATATTCATTATACCTGCTAATGGATTGGAAAATGAAGCCCTGCACTTAGCAAGCCTCCTCTCTTATTATCTTTTCTTCTTCTTTTCTCCGCTTGGGTGTTCGCCAGCAATGGCTTCTCCAACCATCTAATGCATCTGAACTTGAAGCACTTTTCTGATCATCGTACGGGCGCTATTAGGACAAGTCTATATTAAAGTCGATGTTTGTTTTTCTCTCCTGATCAGCTACAAAATGAGGGGTTTAACCGTGCCTGGAAATGGATTTTCTCATCGAGCTCAGCTTGTTGAAAGAATCAATTTATAGAGGTGGCTGCTTTATGATCCATGGCCTCTGTGAGTGTGTGTGTGTCTCATCCAGCCTCTTGTCCCTCTGTGGGAATGGAAGTTCTACTAGAAGCCAGCCAGTTGCTCATTAATGATCTCTATCAATCTTGATTTCCCAGCTGACTCTCATCCTTCCAACACCAAATGTAACTCCCCCAACCCCTTTAACCGGAACATTCAGTACATTCTGAACTCCGCTATCACATTTTACACCGGCTGCAGACTCTTGTGGGGGTGTGTCACATTTTGCCTTTGTACTAGATGTGTGGACACGCAGCCTTCAGTTCCGGGATTTTTTTTCACAACCCCTTCGAGTCACACAACAGATGCAAACATAGCAGCTTCTCGCTGTGACAAATTGAACTCTGTGGATTAAATTGATCTCGCCAAGAGGAGGATCCGTCAATTTTAAAGCCTGTCATTAAATTCACAGAGCTGTGTACACATGGCTGGACAATCAAATCCTAGCTGTTCCACTTTTTTATCTGGGCATTGTCACCTAATTCACACCCAGTCAAGAGCAGGGATATAGTGGAGCAGACACACACCTAACTCCATCTAGCAATCTTTTTTTTTTGTGTTTAGAGTTTACTTTCTATGCTGACATAAATCAATGAATTGCATATCAATGCACAGAAAGCAGTGTCAAGTTGATGTACATTGTATCATTATGGTCTTTGAAAGGGCTATTATATAATGTACATCCTGTCACCGTTTATTAGCAACCCATAATAATAGCTGTGACAGTGATGATTTTCTGGCATAGATTATGCTGGCCTGTAATTTTGACTCGTATTATACAGTCACCTTTTAATAACAGAGGGACATGGGCTAACTGCTTAGAGTAGGTGTAAGAGGTGAGTGGAGTAGAATGGAGGAATATAAATAGAGAAAAAAAAGAAAAATGCCTACTTGGAAATATGTCTGATTTTATTGCTTTATATTGGCAGTTGTTTGCCTGTAATTATCAAAGACTGCAGGTCATAGTTCTAATCATCTCTACATGACTGTTTAATTGAATTGAATCCTTCAATGGTTTTCACTACTAATTGGTAGAACACCTTTTCATTTTTAATATATTGCGTCTCATGCATTTCTGCCATTTCAAAGTGTCTTTCAGGCCCAAAACGTTCCCCAGAGTGCACTGCAGTTTTCAAAACCGTTTCAGGTGGTTTCTAGGCAGGCCTGACTCTTGGGATGTGGCCTGTTTATGGTGGATTTATCTAAAGTAATCAGAATAAGTTTTAATGTAGTGTAGTTGTGAGTAGACTCACTGAGCAGAATAATGTAAATGCATGCAAAAAACTTTGAAGACTAATGTTTTAAAAACCCATCAATCAATTTCAAGCAACTTCATAGTTTTCTGATTTTAAAATGTTGTTCATGTGATAATTCTCATCTTGTCCCATGGTACATTAGTTTGAACTTCAATATTATTTTTGTTTTTAAATTTTTTTTAGATGAACATAGAGTCAAATGCAGTGTGATAATGCTGATACTCGTAGTCATAATTGAAAAAAAACTAAGCACAGTTACATGATCATTAGTGAATTCTATGATCTCATATATTTATATAACAATAAATAATAAACAGACATGTGTGTATAAAAGTGTATGTATTTCTCTTTATATCCCAGATCAAATTGCACTAATGGACATCACAATCATTTTGTAGAGGCTCATATTTTAAAAACTAACAACTAACAAAAATAATTGTCTGTGTTTTGGTGTGCCTGTTGTCAATAGTGCCAAAGTTAATAAGAAAGGCAATAATAATGATTTTTCCATTGCATTTTTTGGTTAGAACGATTAGAGGGTTACGATACTGTACATAAAAGACAGTTTGGACTGTTTTATTAAAAAGAAAATAAGCACACATCCAAGGCAAAAACATTCATCTACATGCTCTGCTGTCTTGCACTCTGCTGCTGTAACACCAGAAAAGGTTTCCCTGAGAGGACCATTTCACTGACTTGTCACACAGCTGCCTACACTGGTGGCCAGCAATCCACTGCACTATGCAAATTGCTACAGGAAGGCTTGCTGATTTGACTAAAAGCCCTGGCCGGATCTGATTTTGTAGGGGGAAAAAAAATAGACTCTGGCAATATTCATACATAATGCATTTGACTTGCATTAGAAACTGCTTAGCAGGTTGCAGGAGTGACTCAGTTGGTTTTATGTAACTGCTGCTGATGGATGGATGAAGTGGACTGGACCAGCTTTTTAGAACTAGAAAAGACTTGATCACTACCCTTACTAAGTAACCCCCCCCAAGGTGTTTAAGTGCAGTGGATGGACAGACTGCACTGTATTAGCAGCACTTTGTTTTTGTACATGCATACTTTTGAAGTGATAGGATGACTCTCAACTCACTGTTGTTCAAGCACTCCCACACCATACTTCAAAAACATGCTCAACCCAAAAATATCAGCCTGGTTTAACAGTGAAAGAGTCTGTTTTGATGTGCAGAGGTGAGAAAGGTGTGATAGTGGGGGCTATAAAGTGGGCCGTTTTGCCATTTTGCTGTCAAATATTTTTTTCTGATAAATGATGGAGAACTTGTTGTGCATCTTTTTTGCCTTTTTGTGGGTGTGCAATTGCAGAACATGAAACTCTGTGCTGTTGTCGTACCTGTAAAGGGTGAATAGTTCAGCTGTGACTGGGATGCTATCTTTGTACGTGTTTTTCTCTTCAGGGCTGTTCGTGGTCGGTGATATTTGTGGATCTGGACGCCCACAACAGGAACAGGCAAACCCTGTGCTCCCTACTACCCCGAGAGTCTCGTTCACATGTGAGTTCTATTGTTGCAACTACTAAAATCACCCTACAAATAACTAAAATAGACAATTAAAGCATGTTAAAATGTTTTTTCTTTTTTTGACTCTGTGGAGCAGCTGTGTGCCAATCAAAAACTGAAATAGATGCCTGCCACACATATACCAAAAACTTAAAAGGTTAATTATACACATCAAAGAACACTCACGTCAGTATGTCAGTGGATATCTGTAATTCAACAATGCATTTCCCTTGTGGTGCAGTCATTACACTATTATTGGTCCAGTGTAGACAAGAAATGGAGAAAGTGAGAGGTGGCTGCAGAGCAGGAGGGAGGTAAAGCTGAAAAGGGAAGAAGTGAAAAAAAGAAGTAGTATGTAGAAGAAAAGCAGGAGCCAAACCATTCCCTTCTCTCCACTCCACCCCTTGCAGACACTTAAATGATCACATCTCTCTGTGTGTGCGGAATGTGTCAGGCAGAATAGCCGCCATCAGCTTGCAAGGAAATTAGTGTAATTAGACGACCAGAGTGGCATTATAGCTGTATGAGATTAACGTTAAGGAGCTGGAAGGAGTGCAGTAGGAAGTGAGAGACCCACACACTGTAGGAGTGGGATAATGTCAAGATAACCAAAATATCAATATAATATCAGGATCTCATACACTATGGCAAAAGATTGGAATTCAATATTCAATTCTAGACACATTCAATACCTGTACCAAATATGTTCTGCAAGCTCACATCTCATTTCAGCTACAGCTGCCGAGGATGTTAACATGTAGATTGGAGTTGTAACAAGAAATCGAAGAATAAGAGGGGATTGGACTAGACAGAGCAGCAGTTGGCTCCTCTGTGAACTGTAGAGATGTGTGCAAATTAAAAAAGATTTCTATACAAAGCATAACAGCAGGATTAAACAGTCAACCACAGCTTGCACTGAAATCTAGTCCTTTTAGCTGGTTGACAAAGTGTTTCATAGTCCATATAAGAAAGCATGTCACTGCAGTTATTAGGGGCTTCAGTGCATAGACAGCAGCTCTGGAAACTCTGCCTTCTATTAATAAAGCTTAAATATTCATAGCTGTTTGCAGTGAGGCTAGTGCCTAATAGCTTTCATTTTCATTGCTTAATAGAGTAAACCAAACAAAAGTGAAATGAGAGAATAAGATGCCCAGTCATAATGGTTTGTCAAGCCTAATAACAATATCCATTGCTAATGATTGTTTCAATTGAAATTTAGTCAGGCAGTCCTTGATTTTAAATAAGGCTGCTTTACTGTGCTGTTCATAACCGGGAGCTTTCATTCCTAAGCTGGTAAAAAGCATCTTCTCCTGTCTAGGATCTGGCCTTTTAGAACATAATGATGCATGGGCTGAATGCTATTAGCTACCCACAGTTTTGAGTCATAACTTATGCTATATGACTATTAGGACTGTGGTTAGAATTTAAGTCTGATAGATATTGTGACCGTGGAAACACATTTTAAGTCGTGGTCATATAAATTTGTCATATAAACAGTTTGTCTTGTCATAACTGACCCACCAGTAGAACTGGTAAAAAAACAAGACTGTGGACAGGACTTGTTATTTCTGTAAACTAAATATTTTTTCCCTGGCAGAACACAGATGCAGCCTTGCTTTCAACCATCAGCTATCCTGCCTTTGCAGTAGATGATGATGCCCTCTACAGTCAGACACTGGACAAAATTGTCCGCAAGCTGCGGGGCAAATATGGCTTCAAACGTTTCCTCCGTGATGGCTACCGCACTGCTAATGAAGACAAAAATCGCCGCTACTACAAACCTGCTGAAATGAAGGTGGGTGCTGGTGGGACGACTAAAGGATGAGAATCTTTTCTAGGATCTAGGATTGTTTAAGGTGCTTTAACTAAAAGCAATTCTTATAGATCTAGCATTTTATCATAAGAAAAATACCGAAAATGTTGCTCAGCCTCCCAGGTTTTAGCAAGACGTATACCTGAGTGTCATCAGCATAACAGTTGAAATAGATATTACATCTGAGGATAATATTCATCAAAGTGCGATTAAAAAAAAAAGAGTAAAGGATCCAGGATAGACCCCTGGGGAACCCTACTAGAGATGAAAGGAAGCACTTCCTCCTTCAAATACAGAGAATGACCTGTTAGCAAAAATAATTCAGAACCACATTAGCATATTTACAGACAGCATTTTGAAATATTGTGGTGCACTATGACAAAAGCTGAACTTCAGGTCATGGAGACTTAAAAACAAATAAAACAACAAAACAGCAGCAATTTTGGACACCCCAACGTATAATATGTGTGAGAGCTACCAGTTGTCTCAAGTGTTTTGTTAATTTTTCTGAGATAAGTTATCTCAATCAAATGTAGAGTTAAAGAATGATGTGTAAAAATGAACTTCAGGTGACCACTTGTTTAATGCAGATGAAAAGGCAAAGTGCCAATGGTTGGTAATGCATAAAACCTGTAAAAGTTCAACTTGAAAGTGCTTGAGTGTGACATTTGAAAAGTTTTTGAAATGTATAAGCTTATAAAGATATTATCCTTTTATGATAATTCTAAGAAATCTGTCTGTAAGTTAGCCTCTCCCATTTCTAGTGTTTTAAACCTCCAAGGATTTCACCCCAACCTTAGTGTGGTAGTTTGTGAGTCACTCTCAGTGGGTGTGCTCATGCATATATATGTATGTGAATGACCATGCATTCATTGTCTTTTTTTCAATCCCCTGTGATCCCAGCGGAATGACTGTGCATTCACTTCAGAATCAGCTCAGTGAGTGTACGAGGAGTGAATCAGAGGCTGGACTCTTAATGCTAGACAAATCATTGCATTAGCTGTAGAACTAACCTCCCAGAATTAATGAGCTCAGAGAGGCAGATAGAGAGAACAGTAGAGATCTCCAAGCACAAAGTTTCGATTTGGTCTAGAAGATGTTTCACTTCTCATCCATGAGATCTCAGCAGTTCGTCTGGTGGGTCATTCACCTGAATGTCACAGGTCATTGAGGTCACCTGAAACTTGTGTAAGTCATCAGACTCACGTGAATTATGGTTTGAATGTTGTCATGAAGCAGTACTGGGGACTCTACTCATGGAAGAGTAGCTCAAGACTTTTTCAAAAATAAGGTTACTAAAAATTGTTACTTAATTGGTCAGTTCCGGTCACTGAAGTTGGTAATAATTATCATAATCATAATATCGCTTTGTTTTTATTCCACCCACAAAGGCTTGAATGTTCCTTAAACTGGGGTCTCACGAAAGCAACACCAGTACTATTTGGATTGCCAGACAATATGTTAGATGGTGGCAATGATTCTTAGGTCTAGAACCAGGCCAACTTGTTCTTAAACTCTGAATTTCTAACTGCACAAATCAATATTTTATTATTAACAATGGAAAAGAACACTATGTATAATGTGAAAGTGGTTAGTGGAGTTATCATCCAACTCTCCTCTGAGCTCTATAGGGCTTTGGAGCATATTTTGCACCTTACTGTTTTGGTTTTACAGACCACAGCACTCTTATCAGCCTTGTTTCCAGCAGCAGCAGACAGCTGTTTTCAGGTTTTTCTTTTGGGTTACTTTTCATTTAATTGGGTGGGTGAAAATAATTTTGGACAGTTTGTGATACTACTACTTTTTGTACCCTTTTTTAGAGATCATATTTCAGAAGCTAAAAAGCCACATATTTTGTCAGAGACTAAAACAGAGCTAAAAGGAGTGTGAATTTTGTCCTTTTGTACATTTGCCAGGTGGCCTGCTTATGTTGCTCAATGTCTAATCAATATTTAAATAGGCAACTGTTATGCTAACATGCTGTGCTGCTATCAAGTGGCCAAAAATCAATATAGCTGGTATAATTCATACTTTTTTTAATATATTTTTTTAAATACACCCACCAGGAAACATTTTTCCTGAAGGCAATTGTCCTTTTCAAAGAAAACACTGTTAAATAATTTTCAAAAGACATATATGTATTGAAATATGTATTTCTTTTTCAAATATCAATACACATTAGATATAGCTCAGGTGTGATTTGAAGGCCTTGTGGCTGGCAGTGAGCTGTTTTTTAATGCATTTTAGCAGGACTAGACAGATTGCTGGTCATGGCTCTCACAGCTGCTATGTGGCTGTGAAAAATGTTTGAAACAATAGCCTATCCCTTTTACGAAATTAGATTCCTTTTGGCTGCTCTTTTATTTTCAGAAGTGTCAGAAACTTGAGAAAGTTGGAGCTTTGGTGCTGAATCAGAACAAATAAAGGCATAGAAGATAGAAGTGCTTGCTTGCTATGTCACAGGGCACTCAAAGGGCGCAGACTCCGAACCACTTGGAATACTTTGAAATTAGCTCTCTTTAATCCTGCAGCTAATACGATACAGAGACTCTCAGGCTAAGAATTAGCAAACAGTATTTAATGCCTCAGTTCCTTCAAGCTCCGCCCTGCCCTCAGTTCTACCAGCAGGCAAATTTATTGTGGAAGACACTGATGCCAGTAAAGTTTCATAAATTAAACTTGAAACTTGTGATCACTCTTCCTGCAATTTCCCTTCCGTCTACCAACAGTAATATATTTACTACTACATCAGCAAATACAGCAAGTAATCAGAACCCAGTTATTTAAGAGTAAACTGTGCCAGGTGGTAATATTACACAATGCAGTAAATATTACCACAAGATAGCAATTTTCCAGTAATGAATATTGAAACAAACTGCTTATATTTTAATGTTGGAAATGATGCACTTGCCACATTCAGAGGCGCAATAGACATTACAAATGTAGTACATAGCAAGAAGTAATAAATAGAATGTTATTTCCTTTGAGTGATACGTGAATACACAGTAATGCAAGGCCAAGGGCGTGTCTGACACAGTGTGAGCTCTGTCTGGTGAAAAAGAAGTCACAGATAGACCCGGTCTCCCTGCAGAAGACACTGAGTGAAGTTGTTGTTGGTGTTTAAGAGAGAATTCACAGCAGGGCAGACGTCTGTGCTCCTTGTCTGTTTACCATTGACAGAGAGCAGCAGCCTGTGTGATAGACAGTTTTACCAATCAGTCGAGCTGCTCAAGCACAAAACACCAGGGATCCCTGGCTGTTTACAGCCCCAACAGGCCAAAAAGCACAGGCCTCACTGGGTGACTGCCTTTCTCTCTTTCACTCTTTCACTCTTTCACTCTCTCCCACTCTCCCCCTCCCTCTAAATAAACTCTCCTCCGCTTCTGTATCTCTTTATGCACCTTATTTTCTTTCATTTTTCTCTCTTTCACCCTTCCCTCACCACCTGATAGGTATTAAATTGCTTCTCATCTCTGCTGCAACACACAGTTTGAATCCATGTATACCTGCATACTAACAGGGTGCAGACATTAACCATTTAAAGAAACACATTCAAACCTACAGACAGTATGAGCTTCTTGGTGAATGCAGCTCCCACTTGTATTTGTGTGTGCCAGCTCTACCAGCCGTTTTGTTATTGCATTAGGATGTAATCGCTGTTATCTTCCATCAGTGTGGAGATTATTGAAAAAGATGAGGGACAAAGATAGTCACGACTAATGACATTTATAGTTAGATGGACTAAAATGCACACACACACACACGCACACACGCACACACACACACACACACACACACACACACACACACACACACACACACACATTTTCAAATGATGGGTTTTAGAGAGGCTATCTGCAACTTGTTTAATCTTTTTTCCAAGCTGACCTTGGTGATTTGTGGTGTTTATACGAATTTGGTGACCCAAAAAAGGGTCATTCTATAAAGATAGAGCTGTTAACATTTCTACTGTGTGTTTGTGTTGATCCTCTTCAGGCGAGCATAAGCAAGAGGGGATTTAATTATTGGAATTAGTAGGGCTGTGATTCACTTGACTGTCTTCTCTACATGTGACTTGTAACCAAATGACTTAAGAAAGTCTGTGTGTGCGCGTGTGGTGTGCAATCTATAATAGGATTTCTGGCTGAGTAAGATTCAGAGAATACAAGTGATGGTGTTTGTGTCAATTCAAGTGTTTGTTCTGGAAAATTCACCCCAGCTGCTGCCACATGCTGGCTTTTATTTCCCTTGCGTTCAGTCAACTGAAAACAAGCAGACAGCCACACAGTGACACATACACTCATCAGTTACTCATTCGTATTGATCAGTCAGTCAATCAGTTTGTCAATCATAGCTTGCAGGGTGATGATTATAATTACATTAAAAACATGAATAAATTAGTGTAGAAACGTGACAGATGCATGTGCTTCCATACAGGGGTCAGTGAATGGTTTGATGAAAATGATGTGCTTCCAACCCAACTGAACACCCACTGGTAAATGTTCATCAAAATCAGGGAAAATCTTTTAGGAGAATATTGTTCATCCTTTCAGAGTTCCACAGACTTGGAGAATGTATGACAAGGGGCTTTGAGTGGTTCTGGTGGCTCATGGTGACCCAACACCTGACTGCAGTAAGGATGCTTTCAAACCTGTAGTTCATTTGATTCAAACCAAGGGAAAAAAAACTGAGACTCTGCCTTTTCGATCTGGTCTGGTTCATGTTCACACTGGTTTATTATTGAAGAACCAGAGGTCTAAGTGTGAATTTTTGCATGTATGGACTGACGGCTAGCTCATTGAAGCACTACTCTGCTTCTTATGTGTTTATTTATTTTCTCTGGTGCCTCAAAGAGCTCGCCTCAAAATGACCTAACCTAGAAATTACCTTTACTATAATAATAATTTTTATTTTTTTTAAGTTATTTTATTTTATTGGATAGTGACAGCTGAAGATAGACAGGAAGGGGGGCAGAGAGAGAGGGGATGACACGCAGCAAAGGGCTGCAGGTCGGATTCAAACCTTGGCCGCTGCAGCAACTCCGTACATGGGTCGCCAGCTCTACCGACTGAGCTAACTGGGCGCCCTATAATAATAATTTTTTTGACTACATTTTTCCTGCTTTTTAAATCGGAAAATGTTGAAATACATGAAGCACACAGCACACCTCTGCTTCAACTCCTTTTCACTTTTCTCTGATCCCTGCTCTCACATGCTAATGTGCATACATGTTACCATGGTTACCAAATGATTTACAAAAATAAATGTGTTGCTTGTGTCCTACTCTGTGTATTTACCCAGTCATTACCCATATATAGAAATAAGTGAAACCTAGCAACCGCATAGGAATTATGCCCCCATAATATGGCAATTCAAATCACTATTTTTTGTCTGTTTTTGTTACTACTTACAATATACAAGGAACAGTTGTTGTTTTGAACCATAATACTCATAATCAGTTCTATCTTGGTGAGCTCTTTGTGGCACCAGAGTAGATAAACACATCAGACACAGCATTAGCATGACATACTGTCAGTCACCAGAATTTGATGTCAGATGGAGGTACATGTAACGCCGGATGACATCACCAAAACTGTCCAATGAATGAGTTACATGTCAGACCATATGACTTCATGCTTGCAACTCTTGGTTCATTTGTAGTAAGAGTGAAGATGAACCAGGCAAGTAAAAGGCAACAGTGTATCATTGTTTTCCTTGGTCAGGACTAAATATATTGAACTACAGGTGTAAAAGGAACAATGTTTGTCTGTCCTCTAATTTGTCCTCCATTTGGATGAGGTATATAGATGCATAGAATACAGTACAGAGAATGGTTTTGCAGTTTTTTGTATATTTAATAACACATCTTTATATTTATTCTACTGTTAAGTCTCAGCAGAATCTTGTGTTGAAGTGGAAGAAGTGTTTTACCTATAAACCTAAAATCCACTTAATCCAACTTCTTCATATATTTGTCACTATATCCTATCACCTCTCGGACCTTCAAACATCCTCCTCAAAACAAACAGCACAGCTGTGCATATAAGCAAATGACCTTGCGAGGAAGCATTATTATTTCTGACTGTTCTGTCAGTTTTCACTCACAATGTCATGTCTTCTATATTTTTCTTCCCTGTGCCATGCTGTTCCATATTCAGTGCTACTAAAGTTCAGCCATCCGCTGCTTCAAAGTCCCCTTGCCTCTCTCCTCTTTCTGAAATGGAAAAGCAATAATTCCTCCTTTCTCTGTCTCTCTCCAGCTTTTTGATGGAATCGAGTGCGAGTTTCCCATATTTTTCATCTACATGATGATTGACGGTAAGCCTTGTTCTATCCATAGCTGCTGTTATGATGCCTCAAGTGGGTCATTGGCAAGATAGAAGACAGACTAGTAGCATTTGACAGGAAATTACATTTTGGTGTTTGTCAGGTTTTAGAGGACTTAGAAACACCTTCTAAAAAGACGTGATGTGTGAAATGTGCGTGTGAACCTAAGGGAATAAAGTACGGAGTATAGTTTCCTTAAAGAATGTGAATTCAAGCATGATTTAATCACCCTCATGCCAGTTTAGACTCCACTGACGTTTTTAGGACCAACAAACAGTCTGATTTAAGGCCTGTTGTCCCACCTCAGACAGCTCAAACTGTTCATCTTTATGGGACCGTTTTCTAACAGCTCAAAAAGCATAAACTATCCATCAAACTCATCCAAATGAAGACAAAAACAAGTAAACAAAACTTAAAAAAAAAAAAAGACAAAATGCTCTAAAACAATTGTGTGCCTTCTGTTCAAAGCTTAAGATGGTTAAGAGGGTTCAGTCTGGCTCGATTACTAGATTATTACTAGCTAGATAAAGTAAGCGTTACCACAGCGACGGTGGATGGTCGAGGGTCAGCAAAAGAATTACAATACAATTATTGACGGTCGTATCTTCCATGCACGCTGCCTTAAGTGAGCCTGCAGTCGATGCAAGGCAAAATGTAGTCAATCAACTATGTGATGTAGTGATGGAGGTCTGTTTCAGCAACTTGCCAGTGGTTTATTTAATTCGCCAATGTAGATTTTTTGTTCGCATTTGGCCTACAGTACATATTGGGCCCTGAAGTATTTTAAAATGAACATTTCATTCCCATTTACCTGACTGATGCAGTTAACAGTTGAGCAGAAAAGCAGAGGTCTTGGTGATTATCTGGATTTAAAACAGCGTTTAATTTGTAAAGCACACATCAATGCTTTAACATAAAAGCTGCACTAATCAATATTTTTTATTTTAACACTGAACTAAATGATGTGTGTGAAGGGGGTCGTTCCGACAAAACCACAGAAAATTCTCACCAGACTGCAGTTCCCTTCAAATTAACCGAGCATTTTAGTGTATTTCAGCTTCATTGTTTTGGTTTTATGGCCCAACTAGTTTCCAGCCACAACAGGCAGTTTTCAGTAAAATAGCTCAAATAAACCCCGTAAAACACTGCATATGACCTGCCCAGCACCAAACAGCGGACAAAGTTAGCAAATAACTGGTGAACATAGTGGAGAATTTAGAAGCTAAAGCCCTCATTTCCCTCAGGAGTTGGTGGAGAGTAAAACAATCTTTAATAAGAGAGATAATATTGGACTTCCATTCATCAGATGGCCATAAACATGCCTATAAATGCTAATCTTGCTCTGTATCTGCCATATGTGTTAATAGACAACGGTTTGGTAACATGTTTATCATATTAAAATTAAAATTAAAATTTAATGGTTATAACACTGATCCCAGTACACACACTCCACCAACCTCTGTAGGACAACCGAAGAACTGAATTCATAGAGAAAATAGGTGATAAGGAGGTAACATTTTCACATGTGCAAGGTTTTCAGAATGTGCATATGTACTGTGAACATGTGTGCGCACACACACACACACACACACACACACACACACACACACACACACACACACACACACACAGTACATATGCATATAGATGCACACAACCACACAAAGTGAAAAAAAAAAACATAGGCATACATGCACATGTAAATGCAAAAACACCCAATCATCTCACTCCTACACATACATACATACATATTCCCTTATTATAACACATACTATTGAATTGCATAGATTTATACAGAATGTAGATGTTGAATGTTGTTGTATCATTACATATGCAAGATATCCTCCAAAAGTTTGAATTAGTATCATTAATGTGTGTGTGCATGCATGTGTGACTGTTTGTCTGTGCGTGTTTGTGTTGCAGGGGTGTTCAGAGGAAATAAAGCTCAGGTCAAAGAATACCAGGACCTCCTTGAACCCATCATCTTCCAGTCTTTTGAGGGTGAGTAATCATATATATATATATATATATATACAAACTCACACATAAATGCAGGGACTGATGGATATGGGAAAATTCTGAATGCACAAACACGCACTTATAACTTTATCTGATTTGGCATATCAATATGGTTCGTTCTGGAGCTTCTGAATCTGCCTCTGTTCACTCTCCCTCTAGCAATGAAAAAACTTTCTCTTATTAAATCGTGTCATCCATATTCATACACCCCGTACTCTGGCTGAGGATCACAGGGGCGTTACGTTCAAGTGAACTCAGCCTTTCCTCATGAGCAAAAAGCTTGGCTTCTATATTCACCTGCACCCATTGCTGCAAGGGGAGACAGTCAAATGATAGGGATGTCAAGAGCTTTGAGTTTCTACTGGGCCATTCATAATGGAACGGGAATAATTGGAGTGTAGAAAGGATAATGATGTGAGACAGAGCTGACTATAGTTGCCTCAGACTTCTCCACAGAGCCTTTGTACTGGTTATGTATGAATTAACAAAAGTCCTGAAGTTAACTGGCTGGCTTTTAAATAATAACACAAGTGTACTTTATTTCTCTTTTACCAGTAATGTCCATGAAAAGTCTAAACCCACAAATGTATTTGCTGCTGTCAGAAGCAGCTATTGTGTGTTCTGCTGCAGGTTCGCCCAACCTCCCAGGAGTCATGGGCTCCCATTGTTCTCATTATACACAGACACAAGCAGGGTGCAGCTCTGGGAGACGTGCCGCTGTACACTGGTGAATGGGCAATGTTAACTACGGTTGTGCCATCCTTTGAGTCTGTATTTTCCCTTTAGGTGGGTTAGATTCATATTGGACCACACTTTCAGGCTGAGGCAGAGCAGAATTGTATGAGTACAAAGATTAGAGCTGGGGCTATCCTACGTGCAGGTACATATGCCATTTTGTAACCCTATTTGCATCTTCAAATGAATAATTATGTATCTGAAGTTACCAAAATGTAGCCTGATAATCAGTCTGAATTATATCATTCAGTCTTTCATCGTGCTCATGTCAGCCAATTTCTGTGATGGAGTTTAATTTCCCCTTTCTTTTTAGGTTAAATATATCAACAACTGATGCAGACATTCATATTCTTCTAACTTTTATTCTAGTGCCACCATCAAGCCCAAATTTGAATGCATCCAATACTTTGGTTCATGACCAAAAAACTGCAAAAGAAAAAAAAGAATGTAAAATAAGAACCCTTGTTATCTTTACCTTAGAATGAGCCTTTTATACTTACAGAGGGAGCTCCTTTTATATGGAGTCCACCATGTTGAACTGCCTGGACCAAACACTGGCACTAGATAGAGCCTTTCACATTTTTACAACTTCTGCGGCCACTGCAGTTTCTCCCACACACTTCTAAGGCAAGCAGTATTCAGTTGGTTGCAACTTCAATGCTTGATGCCACAAAAATCTGCACACTGGTCCTTTAAGTTAAAAGAATTTTCCTGTTTCTTCTATGGCCAACAGCCGGTTTGCATCCTCACTGCAGGCCTTATTGCTGCTAACTTTAATTTGTGCTTTGGGCAGGGGGGAGAAAAAAGAGACACTATTCACACAGACCACACAAAAGCAGTGGCTACAGCAGTGACAAGGACATGATCCCTCACTGGCTTCCCACCCATATACACTGCTAGAATGTTTGCCTGGGCAAGTGCTTTTTCTGCTGCACTATCTGGGCGCCCTAATTAGTCAGCTGCCTTCTCTGACTTTAATGACTATACCTTTAAATTTGGACTGAATTGGCACAAATTATTACCCTAAGCAGTCAGGAAATACTTTGTTCCATTATGGCAGTTCAGCAGCTGGAGCCCATTACGTGCCTTTTATGGTAGATCTATGAAAACGCACTTTTAGAAGTATTCTTCCTGTACCTTTGTGTTTTAGTTTTTAAAAATATATTCACCTGATATGTTTTCATCAACAGCCCATGTAAATAAAAAAATACCCCAGTTGCTTTCATTTGCCCGTTTAATATACAGATTTCTAGGTAATTTTTGTATAGTGTAAGAAGTGTGTACATAAAACTTGAAGATCTCCTTAAGTAGAAAATTAGTTTAAAGATTTCGCACATACTTTGTACTACTGTGTGAACTTGTTGCTACACTCTGCATGCGTCACCACTGCAGCCTTGTGATGTTTTCTGTATGTACATGAGTGAAGTATTTTCACTCAAACACAGACAACATATGTCCAGTGAAGCTGTCTACATACAGACACACACAGCGCTCACAGTCCTTTTCTCTAATGCCAGGCCATGCTGTGATCCCCAAATACTACTACGTACCAGCTGACTTTGTGGAGGCGGAGCAGAACAAGCCTGGAAGCCAGAAGCGTTTCCCTAGCAACTCCGGCCGTGACGGGAAGGTCTTCCTGTGTGGTCAGGCCCTTTACACCATCGCCAGGCTGCTGGGTATGCCTCTGTGTGTGTGTGTGTTTGTGTGTGTGTGCTTTGGTATGACACTCCAAACCCACACATTCATTCTGTTCAGTCTGCAAGTTCATTAATAATGCAAAACTAATATGACCTCTAGTTCATATTGGATGAGATTTATTATAGCATGTCAGAATATTTTCTGTCATAACACACGGTTTTTGTGAAACAATTAGTATTTCGTTATTCATGATTATCTAAATATTGTTAATATTACTTAATTCTTCACTGACAAGAATCCAAAGATTCAGTGTGACTCATCCATTGTGTGTGTATGTGTGTCTGTTTAAATGGGGAAATAAATGTTTTTGTCTTTCTGTTTTTCACACTTGCCTATGTGGGCGTGTGTTTTGTATGCATCTTAATGTCTACCTTTGTGTGTGTATGTGTGTGTCCATGCTCACATTCCAGTGGATGAGCTGATCAGCCCTAAAGATATTGATCCCATCCACCGCTACGTGCCCCGCCAGGACCAGCGGAACGTCAGCATGCGATACTCCAATCAGGTAAGCTGTAACAAGGACTGCGATTGGCTGACGGCACTTGGCTCTCATGTGAACTTTGCACACTCATGTACGGTGGACATTCATTCTCAGTACAATCTTGGATTCAAGTGCTCCTTGTTAAGCTGTATTCACCCTTGTAAATATGAATTATTGGAGTATTTTAGTGCTTTTAGCCTGAAGTAATAACAACATACTCAATAAAAAAAGTTTTACTGGCTATTGTGTTATGTTAGAAATTAAATCTGTAGCAAGTGGACTACTCACCGTGGAAAAAAGTATTAGTTTTATGTTTGTAATTTTGTATTTATTTAGCCTATCCAACACAACTTAGAAGTGTAAATGAGGGATAATAACAGACAAGTTGTACGTTCATAATTGTAATGCATAATCACAAGCCTGAGGTTTTAAATTCTGGTTGTTTGAAATTTGTCCTTTTGAATACATTACACACAATAAATTGTTTTCATATTCTGAACACACTTAGCCTAAAAGGATAGAGGATAGCTGTGCATCCCGCACTACACAACATTGTTAAGACTGTCTTCGCAGCTGTCCTCTTTCCTCAACTTAGCGTTGATTTGATTTGAAAATCCACATTCACTCAAGTATCAAAAAGGGTTGTAGCATTGTTCTCCTCAGGCTTTTTAATCCACTTTTTTTTTTAACTCAGCCTCACGAGAGTTCCTGGTAAATTAATTTAGAACAACAAACAAACACCTGCATCAGAGGTGCTGGTTCATTTGGACATCTGGCAGCCAATAGACCCTTTTCACAGCACACATTTTGGCTTGGCAAAGCAGGAAAACCACAGGTGGAATTAATAACATTAATGATGGCTAAATTCCATTTAGGTGTGCCAGTTCCAGGGTTCTTGTATTGTGCATGCTCACTAACTGACATGTCTTACTGGGACGCTTGGTGGAATGAAGCCATTTTACACCTGTGCTTTCCTGCTTTGACAAGTCAAAATGTCTGCTGTGAAAAGTGTCGGTTGGAATCAAACATTCTCAGTGGTCGTGGTATGAAAAAAAAAGCATGTTACGGTAAAAATGTCATTAAAAAAAGATAAGAAATGTATAGCAGTATTAACTACTCGCGTAAATGGTAAGTGCCAACATATGTAATAAGAAATATATCGCTTAGTTGAGCTGGATTTATACTTGACACAAGGGGTTAACAGAAGTTCTACTAACGATACCTACAGTGTAGGTTAGTTAGAAGGGTGTAACTCGTATGATCTGCTGTATTCTTTAGTTTAGTCTGAGTTACGCATGTTCTCGAACTGGACTAACAAGAAGGTAATTTCTGTTTTGCCTTGAATTTTCATTGACTAGGCGACTTCTGCAAATACTACTACATGCAATCACTGTGCCGTCTTTCTGTCATTGTGATAGAGCAGCTCTCCGGCTACCATAGGGACTTGAGTGAAGATGACTTTGGTTGATGTGTGTTACTGAAAAGGAGAACATTCCGTCTAAGCCTGTCCTCATCTTCCTTATTGTTGTGTTCGCTATCAACAATCTGAGAAATCATCAGAAACTTGTCGGAAAAAACCCAGGCGCTATGTGCGTGGGATTTCAAAACTATGAAGTAACCCACAACTGTGTATCCACCCTTACTCCTGCACGTTCTGCCCACAAACTCCGCTTCAGGCAATTCCCATATCAAATATAGGTTCAATCCTGTTTACAACTTTGTTGTGTCATTCATATGTGCTAAAGCTTTAATTACAATTCATCAATCAACACCTAAACAGCAGAGACCATCCTTTCTATCTTGCCAGGGGCCAATCTTGTAGACATGGATTAAACCCAGTCCATTTCCTCCACGAACTGCCTCTCTGAATGGAAATCATGTCTGAGGTTTAATCCATATCTGAGAAGGCCGGCAGCTCTGTGGATCACACAGATGAAGGGTAGAGATACGTACACAATGGCCTGGTGTTCATTCTCTTTGCTGTACAGTCCCATTCTGCTCCTGTATGTTGACTTTTGTTTTTGAAGCTTGGCTGATAAGATGGGCTGCTAGAACGAGGCGCTCAAGAGAGGATAGGTCTGGAGAAGTATGATGAACGCCAGACTGAATCAAATGGGTTGCAGGGAGAAAGATCCACAGAGGGAACAAAGACGAAGGGAAACAAACAAAAAGAGAATGTCAGCCAGTAGAGAAACTTTGCGGGAAGACAGAATAAGAGAGATGAACATTTGTCTCAAAGAGATACAAACGTCATTATCTAACTCTCTAGGGCTTTCTAATATTCTTTAATACAAGGATGGCCGACTCTGTAAGTGTGTAGAATTGGGATTTTTTTCACTTAAAGGTTTTGACATTTAGCAGATATTTCTCATCTTGTCTTTCGCTGTGCTGACTTGTTTTTAGAGAGAAGTGGTTTTAGATTTTCAAACTCTATTATGCTTTCGCCTCCATTTCACTATGTAGCCGTCAAATACCGGGTCTCTTGCACCAGCTGCTATGTTTATTGATACACCAACCAAGCTTTTTAGGCAGACCTTTCCTTATCTTAACTTATAGCCCTTCATCGTCACCACCAGTCATGTTCCAGATATGTTCACTTGAAGTAAATTTAGAGTGGATATTGTTTGATTGCAAAATATACAAAGGTGGATGTAATAGTGGATGTTTCAGCATGTTTTTTATCACACATGTTGAACCATCATTGTTTGCATTCGTACTACTACCACTTGGAGGTTCAACATTTCAACCATTTATTCATAAGTGGTTATTTAAACTGGTTTTACATTACTATACTATTTCAATCATTTATCCATTAAGGCTGTTTTTCTAGTTTTAGTTTCATTTATTTTGCACAGTTTAAAAAATACATACAAAAGACAAGGATAATAAATGGTATACGTTGCTAAAAGAGGCAGAAAACCCACGTGGGCTTATTGGGAGCCTTCACCTAAAGTTAAAATTTCACAGTTTAAATAACAGAGAATTAACACAGATTTTCATCCACTACTTTAGCTACTGTATCTATTTAAACCACTCTCCAGTCTCTGCTCTCTTGCTAACTGGTTTTAATGAACTCAACATGTGGTGTTCAGGTGCTGAAGCAACCTTAATACGTGGATGTATTTTTCAATTACATCTTAATTTCTGTTAGTTTAATTAGTAGAGTAACACCACAGTCTTTCCACATTACCCCTGGCAACTGTAGAAGTACCCCCCTGGGGGACCAGTACCCATTTGGGAGTCCCTGCTCTAAATAATCTGGGTTGCTGAAGGGCTAAAGAGTATTTATCAAAATTTGTAAGATCAGTACATTTTTTATATCTTTAATTGGGATCAAACAGAGAACAATCTAGATTGTGTGAAAGTTAATAGAATATCAGCATCATCTTACTTGTGTTAGCAGATGTGGTGTGATATTTCCCTGTAGGAAAACAGGATGAATACATGCAGCTCCGTTGTTCTGGCAACATTGCTTTTATGAAATCAGCTTCTAAACTAGTATGCAGTGTGAGCAAAGCCCGACTCCCCTCAGGTAGGCTGCATATTTCGCTGAAATTACTTTTATCACAATAACACTTTGTTGAAACTGGATGTGTAGGCAGCGTGACAGCTCACTGTGAGCCCAGCCTCTGATGGTAGCAGGCACTGCTCTGCGTGCAGCCCATCAACAAAAGCCCATCACATTTAGTTTGATGTTTTCAGCCACATGCAGTCCAAATAAATGTGAGTGAATGGTTTTACTCCGGCTTCATTTCTCAGAAAATTGAAGGCCCTGTGGTTTGCTGTCACAGCGATGAGGCACTATCTTTTCATGGGCATTTGAAATGTAATTTGGGGCTCACACTATTTGTTAATGAGGTTATTGAAGAGCTGACAACTTGTTACTGAAGTTAATGCAAACTGTGAAGGCTAACTGGGTGTGCTCAGTTTCATCAGTGGATAGTGTGTGCAGGTGGGAAAGAGATAACGAATTCAGCCCACCAACTGAGGCACTGAGGTAAATGTGACGGTAAGAACCATAGCTGGTTCGCAGTATAGTTAGATAGGCAATTGTCTAAGGCACCAGTGGGTGGAGGGCACCCAGAGAAAGGGGGTAAGATTAATATTAACCATTTGAACCTGATTGACTCTTCATAGAGACACATCTGAACATGCAGAGCCTCATAAACATATTGCTATATTCAACTTAGACTTTCCAGATATGGCAATTTCTCTGATGCCAGTCACAGATGGAACACCCGAAAGAAATCATAGAAAAAAGACACTGCTTGTAACTCCAGATCTTACCACATAATAATCTTGTTTAGACTTAAAAATAATCCAGTGATTGTAGTCCATCCAGAACATGGATGTATTAAGAGAAGTGGATACGGCTGTTGACAATACACCTCAAACTGCAAACAAAGTCAGTTATTACTCTCCATATTATACATTTTTAATCCATGAAGGTTTTGTATTTGTAAAACTTTCCCAGAGCCTATGTGACGTCTTCCCAATGTAAAGTCTAGTAAGAAGAAACACTAATGTGCATGTGCAGTGGGCTGTGCAACACAGAAGAAAACCTGGAAGCTAGTAAACTATTTGTGCTTATGTGCTCAAGCATGTTCCATTCAAGTAAACGAGACAGGCTTTTAATTCCTTTTGCACAAAACTCTTGTTCAGCAAAGATGGGAAATACTATAAAATTGTTTATATTAACCAGTATGAATATTACTAAATTTGGCCATCAAATAACATATCAAATACGAATCATACAACCTAACTTAACCTAACCTAACTTAACTGATCTCACAATGTGTAGCATGTCCATATTGACAAATTTGTGTGTACACTTGCTCAAGCAGGCGTCCTAGTGAGCGTTAAAGGGTTTTATACATCTGGTCTGCAAAGAACAAACACAGAACATCTATAAAATTAATTTATTTGTCGAAACATGTAGCCACATCTGGCTTGTAAAGGGGACCTACTTCTAATTGGGACCCTGCTTTTAGTTGTTTGTTTAGTTTTATAGCATTTAACTCTTT